ATAATGTCAAACACCTTTCCCAGGCCAGTTTTCCCAATCCAGTTATGATGGGATACACGATTGCTATCTAATTATGGAATTATATGTTAATCTAGATTTAAAATGCACTTTTTATCCAGAATAATATTAAAGAGATCCAGAGTAATATAAAAGAGATCCAGTCAGCCCTGTAAAGTGGGATTGATGGGGGATTTGTGGGGTGGGTTTGGGAGTTTTGCCTCTGTTCCCACTCTGGCAAGCTCTGTGTGTAAAACTTCTTTACAGATGGTTTTGGGAATGGTGACAGAAGTCAAAGCTGGAATATAATGAATAGAATGATTTTGTTAAATTAGAAAGTGAATTGTTATGGCCAGGAACAGAATCCATGGAAAGAGGAAATTTATCAGGAAAAGTGATCATGGCAAGCACCTTTCCCAGTTTTTCCAATCCAATTATGATGGGATACACGATTGCTATCTAATTATGGAGTTATATGTTAATCTAGATTTAATGCACTTTTTATCCAGAATAATATGAAAGAGATCCAGAGTACTATAAAAGAGATCCAGTCAGGCCTGTAAAGTGGGAGTGAAGGTGGATTTGTGGACTGGATTTGGGAGGTTTTTTCCCTCTCTTCCCACCCTGGCAAGCTCTGTGTGTAAAATTTCCTTACAGATGGTTTTGGGAATGGTGACAGAAGTCAAAGCTGGAATATAATGAATAGAATGATTTTGTTAAATTAGAAAGTGAATTGATATGGCCAGGAACAGAATCCAAGGAAAGAGGAGATTTATCAGGAAAAGTGGTGTGATAATGTCAAACACCTTTCCCAGGCCAGTTTTCCCAATCCAGTTATGATGGGATACACGATTGCTGTCTAATTATGGAATTATATGTTAATCTAGATTTAAAATGCACTTTTTATCCAGAATAATATTGAAGAGATCCAGAGTAATGTAAAAGAGATCCGGTCTGCCCTGTCAAGTGGGAGTGAAGGTGGATTTTTGGGTTGGATTTGGGAGTTTTGCCTCTGTTCCCACTCTGGCAAGCTCTGTGTGTAAAACTTCCTTACAGATGGTTTTGGGAATGGTGACAGAGATCAAAGCTGGAATACAATGAATAGAATGATTTTGTTAAATTAGAAAGTGAATTGTTATGGCCAGGAACAGAATCCATGGAAAGAGGAAATTTATCAGGAAAAGGGGTGTGATCATGGCAAGCACCTTTCCCAGGCCAGTTTTCCCAATCCAATTATGATGGGATACATGATTGCTGTCTAATTATAGAATTATATATTAATCTTGATTTAATGCACTTTTTATCCAGAATAATATGAAAGAGATCCAGAGTAATATAAAAGAGATCCAGTCAGGCCTGTAAAGGGGAGTGAAGATGGAATTTTGGGCTGGATTTGGGAGGTTTTTTCCCTCTGTTCTCACTCTGGCAAGCTCGGTGTGTAAAATTTCCTTACAAATGCCAGGTTTTGGGAATGGTGACAGAAGTCCTGGTGGGGGCAGGTTTGGCACCAGCCCCTCTTGCATTTTTGGGGTTGAAAGTCCCAATTCTTCCAGGAGTTCCCTCCCTGTGTCCTGCTGAGCTTTCACTTCCCAAGTGGATCAAACCCTTGGCTTTGGGTTTCACACTGAGAGACAGAATAAAGGGAGGAGATTATTTAAAATTATTTAAACCCAAAAAGCTCTGACTACCTGGATTTGCTCCTTGGCTACTGCAAACAGGCAGGAATAATTCCTGGGAAAGGGATCTGTGCAAAACACCAGGAAGCATCCGAGGCATGCAAGTGTAGAAATTCCCTCATTCCTCATTCCAGCCCCTCTGGAGCCCTCGAGGGCTCTCCAGTGTCCTTTACTCCCTGTCCTCCTGGTACCTGGCAGTCCCCACATCCTTGGGAAGTGACTCCACCACAGGGAATTGTCTCTCTCCATGTCCCTGCCCTGTCCAGGAAAAACTGTGGTGCCAAATTCAACCCCATTTCCCTTTAAACCCCTTCAAATGTATTTTAAAAATCTCTGCTTTTTAAAAATGCATCCCAAACCCTCCCCTATTGATGCTGCATCTCTGCCTTGCTTTGATGCCAGGGCTGCTTCTTCCTCCAAGTCATTTGGTTCATTTATAGCAGCCTCAGAGCTCTCCTGGCAGCCCAGAAAAGTGACATTTCTTTGCAAGCACAGGGAGGTTAAAGCTTTAAATCCCAGAATAATTATAAATGGTTTTGTTGGGAGCATTCCTCCTGGTAACAGATGCAGTAAAACATGATTTTGCTACTGGCCTTGGCCCCGTTCTCGTTTGGAATTCCCAATTAATCAAGTTGTTAATGTGGGCTTGAATTCCAAGTGAGACACAGGCAGTGCTTTACAGCTCCTCAGGGTTTTTGGGATCAGCTGGGATGATTCCTGCAGAGCTTACCTTGCAGGTTCAGGGCTCCAGCACCACCAGATCTAAACTGGCTGTGCTGGGAACCAACTGGGAACAGGTTAATTTAGATTGTGGTTGTTTCCAGCTGGTTCCTGGGGATCTGTGCCCCGGATGGGGAATTTTGGAGGGTTCAGTGCTTCAGCACCACCAGATCTAAGCTGGCTGTGCAGGGAACCAACTGGGAACTGGTTTATTTGGGTTCTGGTTGTTTCCTGCTGGTTGCTGGAGATCTGTGCCCCAGCTTGGGGATTTTGGAAGGTTCAATGCTTCAACAGGTTCAGTGCTTCAGCACCACCAGATCAAAGCTGGCTGTGCTGGGAACCAACAGGGAACAGGTTAATTTAGATTGTGGTTGTTCCCAGCTGGTTCCTGGGGATCTGTGCCCCAGATGGGGAATTTTGGAGGGTTCAGTGCTTGAACAGGTTCAGTGCTTCAACACCACCAGATCTAAACTGGCTGTGCTGGGAACTGCTTCATTTGGGTTCTGGTTGTTCCCACCTGGTTCCTGGGGATCTGTGCCTCAAATGGGGAATTTTAAATTGGAGGGTTCAGTGCTTGAACAGGTTCAGTGCTCCAGCACCACCAGATCTAAACTGGCTGTGCTGGGAACCAACTGGGAACTGCTTCAGTTTGGTTCTGGTTGTTTCCAGCTGGTTCCTGGGGATCTGTGCCCCAGATGGGGAATTTTGGAGGGTTCAGTGCTTCAGCACCACCAGATCTAAGCTATCTGTGCTGGGAACCAACTGGGAACTGCTTCATTTGGGTTCTGGAGGTTGTTCCCAGCTGGTTCCTGGGGGTCTGTGCCCCAGCTTGGGGATTTTGGAAGGTTCAATGCTTCAACAGGTTCAGTGCTTCAGCACCACCAGATCAAAGCTGGCTGTGCTGGGAACCAACAGGGAACAGGTTAATTTAGATTGTGGTTGTTCCCAGCTGGTTCCTGGGGATCTGTGCCCTAAATGGGGAATTTTGGAGGGTTCAGTGCTTCAACAGATTCAGTGCTTCAGCACCACCAGATCTAAGCAGGCTGTGCTGGGAACCAACTGGGAATGGGTTCATTTAGATACTGGTTGTTTCCAGCTGGTTCCTGAGAATCTGTGCCCCAGCTTGGGGATTTTGGAGGGGTTCAATGCTTGAACAGGTTCAGTGCTCCAGCACCACCAGATCTAAGCTATCTGTGCTGAAAACCAACTGGGAACTGCTTCAGTTTGGTTCTGGTTGTTCCCAGCTGGTTCCTGGCGATCTGTGCCCCAAATGGGGAATTTTAAATTGGAGGGTTCAGTGCTTCAACACCACCAGATCTAAGCTGGCTGTGCTGGGAAGCAACTGGGAACAGGTTAATTTAGATTGTGGTTGTTTCCAGCTGGTTCCCAGGGATCTGTGCCCCAGCTTGGGGATTTTGGAGGGTTCAGTGCTTCAGCACCACCAGATCTAAGCTATCTGTGCTGGGAACCAACTGGGAACAGGTTAATTTAGATTCTGGTTGTTCCCACCTGGTTCTTGGGGATCTGTGCCTCAAATGGGGAATTTTAAATTGGAGGGTTCAGTGCTTGAAAAGGTTCAGTGCTCCAGCACCACCAGATCTAAGCTGGCTGTGCAGGGAACCAACTGGGAACTGGTTAATTTAGATTCTGGTTGTTTCCTGCTGGTTCCTGGGGATCTGTGCCCCAGCTTGGGGATTTTGGAGGGTGTAAAACACACTTGTGGTGGTTCCTGTTTCCCAGGCATGTCCTGCAGCCTGGCAGCCTCCAGGGTAAGCTCCTATTAGAGCCTTTAATCCAGCTCCTGGAGCTTGCTGTCCTTATGGATTGTCCTTCCAGCACTCCACAGCAAGGAGGGAAATGTGATAACGCTTCCCCGTGTGAGATAACAGCTCTGCTGCTGTCAGCCCGAGCACATGGGGCTGAGTGAGCCCTCCCAGCCCTTCCCTCAGGCTTTTTTTGGGGAAGCCAGCATGAAATATTTCTACTAAAACCCCATTTCAGGCTGACTTTGGTCTGTGCCTCATCAAAGGCTCTGTTTTGCAGGTGCTGCTGCTCACAGAGGGGATGTGGAAAGCCCTTTTCAAAGCCAGAGAGCTTTGCTAAGCTAAGCTTGTTTTTTAGGCTCAGCTTTTCCTGTTTTGAGCTTGAACTTCTCATGACTGTAGCATAAGCAAAAAAAAAACAGTGGGGGTGGAAATCAGTGGGGAAGGTGAAGCTGAATTTTCCGGGTGTTTCGTGGACAAATGTCTGCCTGCTCCTCTCGCTGGTCTCCGTCCCAGTGGAACATCTGGAGCAAACAGCTGCTTCTGCTTTACTGCTCTACAAAAGGGGTTTTTTATCCTTTGGTTTGTGCTGGAAGCAAAGCTGCCCCCACCCAGCCCTGAGCTGCTTTCTGTTGGCCACGACCTCATTTGTCACTTCTCCAAGTCAGCCCTAATATAGAGAAATCCCGGTGGCTTTTCCCCGCTTGGCCAGGAGAAGATGCACTGCCCATTATGGAGCTGGGTTCCACTTTGGGTGTCTTCCCAGAACCTCTTAGTGCAGTCTGAGGCTGATGAGTGCCCTGGGAAAGGATTTTATGACCTGCTCTGTTTGCCTCTCTTGCAGTGCGTGCTGTATTTATGGAGTTTAAAGATAAATCATCCCAAAACGTTGTTCCTCCTTCGAGGGAACCACGAGTGCAGGCACCTCACAGAGTACTTCACCTTCAAGCAGGAATGTAAGTATCAGCAGTGGGAGAAGGATTGGAATCCATTTAAATAATACATTTTAAAATATATTTTTAAAAAAAAAAGGTGTTGTGAGAAGGCGTGGGCTTCAGTTTTTGTGCCTCAGAGCTGTAAAAACCTGTTGTCTTGTTTTCCTGCTCTTCTGCTATAAAAAATACCCCAAACCCCAAATCTTAAAGTTCTGCTAAGCACCAAATGTGGCCTTTTGGTTTCAAAACCCTGAGTGTGGATGGAAGAAACGGGAACACTTCTCCCCTGATGAGGCAGGCACACACATCCTCCCCTCCCTGACTTCCAACATGTAATCAGTGCCAAAAGCCTTCCAGCTCCAGATTGTGCAGCTGGGATCAGTGACTGGAGCTGCAGTGGGGGAAGGATTTGCTCCTCCCTGTTTGCACTGGGGAGGATCATTTACCTTTCAAATGGTTTTTGCAGTGAAAAGATGGGGTTTGTGCACAGCATTTGGATGTTTTTAAAGCAGTGCTGAGGAGAGGTCAGGGAATGATGGGTGTCTGTCATTCCAAGGAATAAAAGAGGTGGAGAACTCAGAGCAAAGCTCCTTTAGGGAATTCTTGCTCAAGGACCCGACCTCCAGAGATAATTCTGGGCAAGGCACAAATCCAGTCTTTATCCCATCAGCTCTGGGTGGTGCTGGAGGGGGGAAGGCTCAGAGGGGATGAGTCCCTGTTCTGTTAACTCAGGAATGAGCTGGGAAACACCTCCCAGCTCTGTGCTGGCTGCTGTGCCCCTCACCTGCACACAGGTGAGCTCCTGCTGAGTCTGAACCAGGTGCTGGGGTTGGGTTTTTCCCTTTGGAAAACAGGAGGTGCTGCTTTTCCCTTTCCCTGAGAAGCCCTGTTAGTGTCTCTGGAAAATGGATATTTCTGAGCAGATTTGAGCCTTGCTGTAAGAGCCAAACTGTGATTTATGTATGGGAACATCCTCTTCCCCTCTGCTGGGGTGAAGCATCTCTGGAATTGTTATCCCTCGAAGATCAGTGGGCAAATCCTGCTCCCAGGAGCTGTGGAAAAGCAATTCCTGCCCCCATGGCTGTGTGAGGCTGCTGTGCCAAATTCAGCAGTCAGGATGAGTCTGGAGGTGCTGTGGGGAGTGATGGGGTGGCTTCAGCAGCATCCCAAATTTATATCATGATCCCAATTTCCATTATTTGGGAACTCCTCATCTCCTTGGTGCTGATCTCAGTGCAGGAGTTCTGGAAAACAAACTGAAGGGACATGAATATTGTCCAGTTCCAGATTAAAAAAACCTTTTCTTTTACACACCCAACAATGATTTTCCAAATCAGTATTTTCACAAATGCACAGGTGCAGAGTTTTAATCTAAATCAGTATTTTCACAAATGGACAGATGCAAAGTTTGATTCCAAATCAGTATTAGCATGAATGCACAGGTGCAGAGTTTTAATCTAAATCAGTATTTTCACAATTACTTATGTGCACTTTGATTCTAAGTCATTATTTTCAGAAAAACACAGGTGCAGAGTTTGATTCCAAATCAGTATTAGCATGAATACACAGGTGCAAAGTTTTAATCTAAATCAGCATTTTCAGGAATACACAGGTGCAGAGTTGATTCTAAATCAGTATTTCCACAATTACTTATGTGCAGTTTGATTCTAAATAATTATTTTCACTAAATGCACTGCTGATTCCAAATCAGTATTTTCACAAATGCACAGGTGCAGACTTGATTCCAGGTGCAGACTTGATCCTAAATCAGTATTTTCATGAACACGCTGCTGATTTTAATCAGTATTTTCTGGAGTACACAGACATAGAGTTGATTCTAAATCAGTATTTTCACAAATACACTGGTGCAGAGTTGATTCTAAATCAGCATTTTCAGGAATACACAGGTGATTTTAAATCAGTATTTTCACCAATATACAGGTGCAAAATTTGATTCTAAATCAGTATTTTCATAAATACACAGGTGCAGAGTTGATTCCAGGTGCAGAGTTGATTCTAAATCAGTATTTTCAAGAATGCACAGCTGCAGAGTTTGATTCTAAATCAGTATTTTCATGAACACACTCCTGATTTTAAATCAGTATTTTCACAAATGCGCAGGTGCAGAGTTTGATTCTAAATCAGTATTTTCACAAATACAGAGGTGCAGTTTGATTCTAAATCAGTATTTTCACAAATACAGAGGTGCAGAGTTTTAATCCAAATAATTATTTTCGCAAATGCGCAGGTGCAGAGTTTGATTCTAAATCAGTATTTTCACAAATGCACAGGTGATTTTAAATCAGTGTTTTCAGGAATACACAGACACAGAGTTGATTCTAAATCAGTATTTTCACCAATACACAGGTGCAGTTTGATTCTAAATCAGCATTTTCACAAATGCACAGGTGCAGAGTTGATTCCAGGTGCAGAGTTGATTCCAGATCAGTATTTTCAGAAATACACAGGTGATTTTAAATCATTATTTTCACCAATACACTGAGTTGATTTTAAATCAGTATTTTCACAAGTGCACAGGTGCAAAGTTTTAATCTAAATCAGTATTTTCATGAATACCCAGGTGCAGAGTTTGGTTCTAAATCAGTATTTTCACCAATACACTGCTGATTTTAAATCAGTATTTTCACCAATACACAGGTGCAGAGTTTTACTCCAAATCAGTATTTTCCAGAATACACAGGTGCAAAGTTTGATTCCAAATCAGTATTTTCACAAATGCGCAGGTGCAGGGTTCATTCTAAATCAGCATTTTCATGAATACACAGGTGCAAAATTTTAATCTGAATCAGTATTTTCCCCAATACACTGCTGATTTTAAATCAGTATTTTCACTTTACCAGGTGCAAAGTTTGATTTGTGAGCCATTTAGATTTAGGAGCTGGGTTCCTGGAGTTTATTGATCAGCCCTTGAGGTGATCAGAGCTTGATTGGATTCCTCCCTGCAGGTCGAATCAAGTACTCGGAGCGAGTGTACGACGCGTGCATGGACACCTTCGACTGTCTTCCTCTTGCTGCCCTCCTCAACCAGCAATTCCTGTGTGTCCACGGGGGCCTGTCTCCAGAAATCACGTGTCTAGATGACATTAGGAAAGTAAGTCAGCTCCAGGAGCTTTTCCCTTCCCTCCCTGTGCTCAGTGGGGTTTGCTCCTGTGTGGATTTGGGGCTGGAAGGGTGGGAATCCATAAAATCAGAGGGTTTGGAGAAAGCTGCAAAAGGCAGCCCTCAGAAACAGCAGAACTGTGATTGGAGCTAAGCAGTAGCCATGAGATTAGTCAGCAGAAAAATTATGTGAAAAGTAAAAACAAATAGAACAATAGTCTATATATTAATCAAATGGAACAATGGTCTGTGTATTAATGCTTGTCTAAAATAAATCCATAAGCTACTGAAAAGTATATCTAAGAAGATATTAGGAAGTTCTAAGCAGTAGCCATGAGATTGGTCAGCAGAAAAATTATGTAAAAAGTAGAAAAGTAAAAACAAATAGAACAATGGTCTATATATTAATCAAATAGAACAATGGTCTGTGTATTAATGCTTGTCTAAAATAAATCTATAAGCTACTGAAAAGTATATCTAAGAAGATATTAGGGAGTTTTAAGCTTAATAATGGAGCTCTGTGCATTGTGTTTTAAGGCTCACAAGCAGGTATTGTATTTGAAATAAGCAAGCATTGTTTTAACCAAAGGTACCTGTGCTGATAGTGGTTGGATGGAACTACTGTCAATGTGCTTTTGCTTTGTGTGATTGGTCAAAAAACTTCAAAAGTGAGTTGTAACATTAAGTTCTTTGTCTGCTACCTAAAATGTGAACTGAAATCACTGACATCTTCCCATTGTCATAACCATGTAATGAAGCTGATGCTGGAAAATAAAACGCAGGACGCATTCCTAGCTGTCCCATCCCACTGGGAATTTGTACTGTTTTGGTTTGGAAAGCCAGGTGTTTGCTAAGGAAGGCAGGAGCCTCCCCTAAAATGGAAAATGTAAGCCCCCTCTCTGAATTGCTATAAATTTTAAGTTAAGGGGCTCTCAGGCAAAAAATATGGGAGCAGGAAATAACAGTTCTTCATTAGGGAAGAAAATAAAAAGATAAAATAAACAATGCAGTAAATAAAAAGATAAAATAAACAATGCAGAGTCAGAACCCAACCTGACACCCAGTGGGTCAGGGTGTTGGCAGCAGTCCCATTGGAATTGTGGCTCAGCCCTCCTGCAGTGCCAGGGCTGGTTCTGCTGGAGCAGGGATCCTGGACAAGGGTGGAGTCTCCTCTGAAGATCCAGGGGCAGAGGCAGCTGCTGCTCCTCTGGGGAATCCAGTGCAGAAGCCGTGCTGGTGTTCCAGAATCTCCAGATTATATCCAGGCAGGAATGCTTGGCTGGTGTTCCAGAATCTCCAGATTATATCCAGGCAGGAATGCTTGGCTGGTGTTCCAGAATCCCCAGATTATATCCAGGCAGGAATGCTTGGCTGGTGTTCCAGAATCTCCAGATTATATCCAGGCAGGAATGCTTGGCTCCTCCCTCTGGGCTCACATCTCCCAATGGGATGCTGTAGTTCTTATCAGCCGTGCAGGGACATTCAGTGGCCTCTTATCAGCAGGTGTCTCCCAGAGGGAGGAGTGGGTGTGGAAGAGACAAGGAAAACTGCTCATTTAATAGAAGACAGCTGCCATGCAGATGGCAAATAGAACACAATTTGCTTGGCAATCTAGGACATGAACAGAGGAACAGAACAGGAATCCTGCCCCAGCTCCTGCTGATGTTGTGTCCCCTCTCCAGTTAGACAGGTTCAAGGAGCCTCCAGCCTTTGGTCCGATGTGTGACCTGCTGTGGTCGGATCCCTCGGAGGATTACGGCAACGAGAAAACCCTGGAGCACTTTGCCCACAACACTGTCCGAGGCTGCTCCTATTTCTACAGGTGAGGGCTGGTTCAGGGGGCATTTCTCTCCTCTCACACCAAAATCATGCTCAGGCCACTCTGGGGGGCTTTGCAGTCTATGTGAATTGTCCTCACTTGGCTCTGATACACAAATTCTTCTTTGTTTTTTTGCTTCATTGGATCTTGAGTTGTCGTTGGATAACTATTTGCTATGTCAGGGAAGGTATAGGTTGAATATTAAGAAAAAAGTTTTCAACAAAAGAATAATAAAATACTGGAATGCTCTTCCCAGGGAGAATCACCACCTCTGGGTGAATTTTAAAAAGCCTGGACATGGCACTTGGTGCTATAGTCTGGTTGAGGTGTTAGGGCATAGGTTGGACTTGATGATCTCAGAGGTCTCTTCCAACCTCCTGATTCTGTGATTCTGTGAATATTGAGCTGTCTTTGGATAAGTTTAAATATTGAGCTGTCTTTGGATATTGAGCTGTCTTTGGATAGATGTGAATTTTGAGCTGTCTTTGGATAAATGTGAATTTTGAGGTGTCTTTGGATAAGTTACTTTGTACAATTGGGATCTCAAGCAGCAGAGATGCTTCTTTGGACTGGCCCTAAGAGTGGTTTGCAGCACCTGGATCTCTAGGAAATATTTTTTCCTTGCTAAAAAAGGATTTGTGCTGATAGTCCACTTATAGGAAGGGTTTAACAGAACCCTTTGCAATTAATTTTTGGAAAAAAATATATCATTTGAATAATTTTTGAATAAAAGGTATTTTGAGGTGCTAGACAGAAACTGGATGTTTTCTGCAAGTGGCTGCTCCCAGAAACCAAGACCTCCCAAGCTCTGTGCTCTCCTTTGCTCTCAGCTGAGTTCTCCTCCCTTTTTGTTTTGCAGTTATCCTGCAGTGTGTGAATTTTTGCAGAACAATAGTTTGTTATCCGTAATCCGAGCTCACGAAGCCCAGGATGCTGGGTGAGTGCTGCAGCCCCGGGGCTGGGCGGGGTTTGGGCTGTGCTGAGCCGGGTTTGGGCTGTGCTGAGCCGGGTTTGGACTGGGCTGGACGGGGTTTGGGCTGTGCTAAAGCAGGTTTGGGCTGTGCTAAAGCAGGTTTGGGCTGTGCTAAACCAGATTTGGGCTGTGCTAAGCCGGGTTTTGGCTGTGCTAAACCGGGTTTGGGCTGTGCTAAACCAGGTTTGGGCTGTGCTTAACCGGGTTTGGGCTGTGCTAAGCCGGGTTTGGGCTGTGCTGAGCCAGGTTTGGGCTGTGCTAAACCGGGTTTTGGCTGTGCTAAACCGGGTTTGGGCTGTGCTAAGCTGGGTTTGGGCTGTGCTGAGCCGGGTTTAACTTGTGCCCTGTTTTGCAGGTATCGAATGTACAGGAAGAGCCAGACCACGGGCTTTCCCTCGTTAATCACAATCTTCTCTGCACCAAATTACTTAGATGTCTATAACAACAAGGGTAAGGCTGGGGCTTTGCTGCTCTTATGGGGGTCAGGAAATCTCTCCCCCACTCTGCCCTCCCAAAATCACAGGATAATTTAATTGGAAAAGGGCTCCAAGCCATTGAATCCAACCTGTGCCCAATCCCCACCTTTCACTGAGTGTCACTTCATCTGTTCCTTGGACACCTCCAGGGATGGGCACTGCAACCCTCCCTGGGCAGTTCCAATCCCTGAGCCCCCTTTCCATGGGGAAATTCCCGCTGTGCCCACCTTGAGCCTGCCCTGAGCCCCCTTTCCATGGGGAAATTCCCGCTGTGCCCACCCTGAGCCTGCCCTGAGCCCCCTTTCCATGGGGAAATTCCTGCTGTGCCCACCCTGAGCCTGCCCTGAGCCCCCTTTCCATGGGGAAATTCCTGCTGTGCCCACCCTGAGCCTGCCCTGAGCCCCCTTTCCATGGGGAAATTCCTGCTGTGCCCACCCTGAGCCTGCCCTGAGCCCCCTTTCCATGGGGAAATTCCTGCTGTGCCCACCCTGAGCTGCCCTGGCCCAGCCTGAGGCCGTTCCCTCTGCTCCTGTCCCTGTGCCCTCCTGGCAGGAGCTGGGCAGAGCCACAGGGGCCCCCTGAGCCTCCTTTGCTCCAGGCTGAGCCCCTGCCCAGCTCCCTCAGCCTCTCCTGGGGCTCCAACCCCTTCCCAGCTCTGTTCCCTTCCCTGAATTCATCCCCAGCCCCTCCAGGTCTCAGTGAGGGGACCAGAACTGGACACAGCCCTCGAGGCACCTCCCCAGTGCCCAGCACAGAGGGACAATCCCAGTCCTGCTCCAGCTGCCACCACACTGGTTTTGATTCAAAAACCACCCTGTTTTTGATACAAACCCTCTCCTCCAGTCACATTCTTGTGCTTGGAATGAAAGAGAGCTTTGTGTGCTGAGCTGAAGTGGTTGACTTAATGTGTTACTGTGGCAATTAACTGTGGAGTCATGAGGCCTGGAATGAAGCTTTCATTCCCAGCACAGGAGAATGGAGCCCTTCTGATGGATGCTGCCATCCCACAGGAGCTGATAGTGTAGGACAGTTTCCCACTTCCCTCTGCCCCTAAACCATGGGGATCATGGTGGAATTTTCTCCAGCTTTGGGGTTTTCACCCCTCACTTTGGATCTTGGCTCTGTTTGAGTTTCGCTGTTTTAAGCTGAGAACCAACCTGAGGAAACCAAAATATCATGGCTTAAAGCTTCTCATTTTGGAGAGTTGGAAGCTTGATGCTACACGAGTGTAACAGGGTGTTCATCATGAAGGTTTTATAAAACTTCCGGGGAAAGCCAGGCTGGGAGAGCTGGGGGTGAAAGAGGAAGAAGCTCCAGGGAGAGCTCAGAGCCCCTGCCTGAGCCTACAGGGGCTCCAGGAGAGCTGGACAGGGACTTGGGACAAAGGATGGAGGGACAGGACACAGGGAATGGCTCCCACTGCCAGAGGGAAGGGATGGATGGGAGATTGAGAAGGAATTTCTTCTGTGAGGGTGGTGAGGGGCTCATGGAATTCCCAGAGAAGCTGTGGCTGCTCCATCCCTGGAAGTGCCCATGGCCAGGCTGGGGGGGCTTGGAGCACCCTGGGATAGTGGAAGGTGTCGCTGCCCTTAAGATCCTTCAAATCCAGGATTCTGTAGGTGGAAAGTGCCCATGGACATTTATTCCCTCTGCCTTTTCTCCCCCAGCTGCTGTACTGAAATACGAAAACAACGTCATGAACATCAGGCAGTTCAACTGTTCCCCTCACCCCTACTGGCTTCCAAACTTCATGGATGTCTTCACATGGTCCTTGCCTTTCGTAGGGGAAAAGGGTAAGAGAGATTTGGGGTTCTGTTCCCAACTCCCAGTGACTGCTCCTCATATCCTGAGTGTCACAAACCTGTCCCACGCTGCTGGGAGGGTGTTGCAGCTCCAGGTGGCACAGGAGAGCAGTTCAGGCTCAAGGAGATCTTCATTACTGGATTAAATTCATGCAAAACCAGCTGTTTGAAAAAGCTTTTACCAATAAAACACTCCTTTCTTGCTCTTCCTGCATTGCTGGTGGGGCTGCTCATGGGTGCTGTAGCCCCACCTCAGAATTTGGAGATGTTTCTCTCAGTTTGCAGCAGAGGAATTTTAAATTCCTGTTGGCTCCTGGCCCACCAAAAAGGAAGCATTCACTTCAATCCAAGGCTTATTTCATTCTGAACAAGGCGAGGCAGCTTAAAATATGACCAAGACTTTGCCTCAGCTTTTCACCAAAAGGATTTTCACCTCTCCTGATGAGATTAAATTCCACCCCAGTCTCATTTGTTTGGGGTGCAGCTTCACCCTCACCACTCCCAAAGGATTTTTTGACTTTGAGGCACCAAAGTTTGAATCCCCCTCTCCCCAGATTTGGCCCTTCTCAGAGCCAGGTGGCTTTGGTGTGGGTGAGGATGGGGAGGGGGGACCTTGAGGGAGCTCAGGCTGTTCTGCAGGAATGTTGGCACCTCCTTCCCCACGTCTGGTTCCTCTGTGATGTGCTTGGCCTGCATCCACCTCCTTGGCAGAAGATGCAGCGTGTGTCGTCTGCTCCGGCGCCGCTGCGGGCACCAGCCGGCTGTGCCTAAAAGTGTCTTCAGGCTCCCACTTGCAGGGCACAGATGACCTTGAAATCCTTCCCTGGCCCTCCAAATCCCTCTGCATGCCCAGGCCTCTCTGACCTCTCTGTCTGTGCCTCTTGCAGTCACCGAGATGCTCGTGAACATCCTCAACATCTGCTCCGACGACGAGCTGATCTCGGATGGCGACGAGACCTTGGAAGGTAAAATATCCCTGCTGGCAGCACAGAGCAGCGGGGGGAAAGGCTGGGCAAGCTCTTTCATGTCTGAGCAGCACTTGATTTATAGCTGGATGCCCAGCCAGGGTCTCCAGTTCTTTTTGCAGTTTTGGGTAGGGAATGTTTGGGGTTTTTTTTCTCCTTTGCTGTTCAGTCACAGAGAAATGAAATGACATTCACTGCGACAGACACTTCTTGCCAGCTACTCTGGGAATGGTTTCCTGCTCCTTACACAGGCTGCTGCTTATTTTTTCCCCCAATTCAGAATTTTCTGCACCAAAATATCCACCCGATCTTCTCATCTGTTGCAGTGAACTCCTCTGTAAAGTGGCTTCTCGTGTCACCCCCTCCCCAAAAACGCTGGGTTTGGCTCTGCTTTTGAGCTGTGCATGAAGGGGACAAATCAGTGGTTGAGCTGATGAGCAGTTTGGATTTTGGGGGGACTCAGGAGTGAGTTGGTGACCTGAGGAAGCTGAGGGGGGCAGCGAGAAGTGGGGCCTGAGCTGCCTCGGCCCCAGGTGGAGACTCTAACCCGCTTATCCCATTGCATTTCCGTTTTGTTTTTTGCTTTTTTGGTTTTTTTCTTTCCTCCCTCCCATGAAAATTAAATTTGTTTCTTCTATCTCTGTCTTCATCTACTTGTTTCTTGGTGTCTCCTCTCCCTGAAGATCACTACATTTCAAGCTATCCGAAAGGTACCCAGCTAGAATTTGCTACGAGCTTAATTATCACTGCCTGTGCCACCAGATCCTTGAAGTGGATTTCCAGAGCTGACTAGTGGGGCAGTCTCTTCATCCCCTTTCAGTTTTAACATAAGCTCCATGTGTTTTTTAACCCTTCTGCGTTCCTCCAGGAACTCTGAGAAACGGGGGTCACGTTTCTACCTGATTCTGAATGCAGCCACGTAGTGCATGGCTGAGCCATGGTGCATGTTAGCCCTGGGTTTGGCTTCCCTGTCCTGATGTGTACTGGGCCATGTGAGGAATCTCAGCTGAGAGGAGATGGATTTGTTCCCTCTTTCCACCCGAATTTTCCCTTTGATTTCAGCTCCCTCCGTGCTTTTTTTATGTTTCTCTCTCCCGTCGGGTCCGTAGAGCGGAAGGGGAGCTCCCCCCGTTCTGTTGTGTCCGTGTGGGGTCAGAGCAGAGCTGCCAGGCTCGGGCCAGCCCTTCCCTGCGCTCCTTGGATGCCAAAGCTGATGCTTGTGTGCCGCTGCGGGCGAGCCCAGCGGTGCCCATCAGCCCCTCCGTGCCCTGCCTTGCAAAGCGTGTCCTCATGGCTGAGTCATTTGTGTCCCATCCTGTGCAGTGTGGGCCCAGCTGGCGACCTGGCAGCAGCCACACCTCCCCGAGTCCGTGTCCTGTGGTGGTTCTACTCTCTTTAGCCCTCTCGAGTTCCGTGTGTGCCATCTCGTTGGTGTTGCCCTCCTCACCGCCATCCTGGTGCCATCCTGATGCCATCCCGGTGCCATCCTGATGCCATCCTTCCAGCACCGTTCTCTCTCCGGTGTAGCTGTGACTCTGTACAAACCATGATTTCTTTTCCTGGAGTCAGGCAGGGGCTTCATGCTGACCCTCCCTGCAGAGCAGGAAGCCTCCAACGTGCTGCTCTCTGCTCTTTTCTCTCCCTCAGGTGGGACAACGGTGCGCAAGGAGATCATCAGGAATAAGATCAGAGCCATTGGGAAGATGGCACGGGTCTTCTCAGTCCTTCGGTGAGGATGGGCTGGGCACTGGGCTTAACTGGGCACTGGGCTTAGTTTGGGGACTGGGCTTAGTTTGGGGACTGGGCTTAGTTTGGGGTCTGAGCTTAATTTGGTGTCTGGGCTTAAAATGGGGACTGGGCTTAATTTGAGGACTGAGTTTAATTTGGGGTCTGGGCTTAATTCAGGGACTGGGCATAGTTTGGGGACTGGACTTCGTTTGGGGACTGGGCTTAATTCAGGGACTGGGCTTAATTTGGCAGCTAGGATTAGTTTGGGGACTGGGCTTAATTTGGGGTCTGGGCTTAAATTGGGGACTGGACTTCAATTGAGGACTGAGTTTAATTTGGGGTCTGGGCTTAATTCAGGGACTGGGCATAGTTTGGGGACTGGGCTTCGTTTGGGGACTGGGCTTAATTCAGGGACTGGGCTTAATTTGGCAGCTAGGATTAGTTTGGGGACTGGGCTTAATTTGGGGTCTGGGCTTAAATTGGGGACTGGACTTCAGTTGAGGACTGAGTTTAATTTGGGGTCTGGGCTTAATTCAGGGACTGGGCATAGTTTGGGGACTGGGCTTAATTCGGGGACTGGGCTTAATGTGGGCACTGGGCTTTAACTGGGGACTGGGCTTTAATTGGGGACTGAGTTTAATTTGGGGACTGGGCTTAAATTGGGGACCGAGCTTAATTTGGGGTCTGAGCTTAATTTGGGAACTGGGCTTTAACTGGGGACTGGGCTTAAATTAGGGACTGAGTTTAATTTGGGGACTGGGCTTAATTTGGGGACTGGGCTTAAATTGGGGACTGAGTTTAATTTGGGGATTGGGCTTAATTTGGGGACTGGGCTTAAATTGGGGACTGAGTTTAATTTGGGGACTGGGCTTACTTTGGAGACCGAGCTTAATTTGGGGACTGAACTTAATTTGGGGACTGGGCTTAATTCAGGAACTGGGCTTAAATTGAGGACTGGGTTTAAAATTGGGGACTGAGTTTAATTTGGGGACTGGGCCTAAACTGGGGACTGGGCTTCAGTTGGGGACTGAGCTTAGTTTGGGGACTAGGCATAATTTGGGGTCTGGGCTTAATTTGGGGACTGGTCATAGTTTGGGGACTGGGCTTAATTTGGGGACTAGGCATAGTTTGGGGATTGGGTTTATATTGGGGACTAAGTTTAATTTGGGGACTGGAATAAATTTTGGGACCGGACTTAATCTGGGGACTGGGCTTAAACTGAGGACTGGGCTAAATTCTGGAACTGGGCTTAATTTGAGGACTGGGCTTCATTTGGGGACTGAGCATCATTTGGGCACTGGGCTTCATTTTGGGACTGAGTTTAATTTGGGGGCTGAGTGATGGGGAACACTGGTTAGGAAAAAAAGAAGGGAAAAACTTCCTAGAACAGGTGATTTTGCCTGACTCTTTCAGGACACATTTTCCTGAAAGAAAGTTGTAGCCAGGTCGAGGTTGGACTTTTCTCCCAAATAACAAGTGACAGAGGGGAGGAAACGACCTCAGGCTGCAGCAGGGGAGATTCAGGTTGGATATTAGGGGAAATTTCTGCATGGAAAGGGTTGCCAAGTACTGGATTGTGCTGTCCAGGGCTGAGAGGTTGAACAGATGTGTGGATGTGGCACTTGGGGACGTGGGTAGTGGTGCTGCTGGGTGACCTTAGAAGTCTTTTCCAGCCTTAATGATTCCATGATTCTCATGATCCATGATCCCACAACACCCACCACAGCCTGTAACTCAGTGTGTGACTGCTGCTGTTCCCTGCAGGGAGGAGAGTGAGAGCGTGCTGACCCTCAAAGGCCTGACCCCCACAGGTACCCTGCCCCTGGGAGTGCTCTCGGGGGGGAGGCAGACCCTGCAGACCGGTGAGTATCCCTGCCCCTGCATCCCCCTGCCCCAAACCCCTGGGGCAGCTCCCACGGGCGGCCTGGAGGGTGCCAGGGGACCCCAGCCAGGGTTCAGGCCCCTGGGGGAGGAAGGATTGCCAAGCAGGAGGTGTAGGTGGGGGTGTGGAGAGATGCCAAGCTGTACCCTCGAGGAAGAAAACCCACAGCACCCTGCCTAAAGCATGTTTAGTGCTTAATTGTTTGTTTCTGCAACAAGTTTTTCTCCTTGATTTCCCTTCTAACGCTGCATGGTGCACATCCTCTGCCTCACCTCGCTGTGCTGCTGCTGTGTGACAGCCTCTGTGTGAATGTGACAGTGACACTGCCTCTGTGTGAATGTGACAGTGACACAGCTGCTTGTTTGTTCTTCGTTCGACCACACCCCTCTCAATCTGCCCCTGTCAAAAGTCATGAATCCCAAACAGGAGGAAGGTCCAGCCAAAGGAACGAGGTTCCTCCAGGGCTGGATGGTTCACAAAAGTCTCCTCTCAGGTTTTGAGGTAGTTGTGGAGGTTTCTTCCCAAATTTTCTGCCTCCCTCAGCAGCTCAGAAAGCAAAGGATCCGATCCTTCCCCTCCCAGGGCAGGGAGGTTGGCTGGTGCTCAGGGAATGAGCTGGCCCAGGGGGAATCCTGTAATCCAGTGTGTTAATCCTCCCCTGCCACGGCCTTTGAAGCCTGGCACCTCCCCAGCTTCCCCCTTCCATGGGCACCGGGGATTTCCTGCAGCTCTCCCCGGGCTGGGCCTGGGGTTTGCCTGGATTAAAGAGTTCACGAGTCAGAAACGTGGCAATATCACTGCCTGCTCCCAGGGAGGGTGCAGCAGCACTCCCAAGCTCATGGATTTCTCTGCCCACAGAGGAGGATGGATATTTTTTCCCTTTTTTTATAGAAACCATCACAGCCCCGTCGCCCCAGTTCTGGGAACAGAGCCTGAGTGGGAAGGTGGCTGCTGCAGCAGCTCTGTCCCTGGATCCCCACAGCACAGGGTCATGCTGTGACGTTCTCCAGCACCTTCCCCTCTCAGGGGCTGCTCTCAGGGTGCCAGGGATCCCCTCTCCCCCAAAATAAGCCTCTCCCCAGGACAGAACAAACAAGCTGGGCCTTTGCTGCTGCCTTACCCGCCCCACCCGCGCCTGCAGGCTGCCCCTGCTGCCCTCGGCATCTCCCGGCTTCTCCTGCCCTCCTCACCCCCTTTCCCTGTCCTCCTTCCTTCTCACACTCTCCTTTCCCTGTCCTGATCCCTTTCCTTCCCCCTTTTCCCTGTCCTTCCTCCATCTCCCTCCCCCTTTCATTGTCTTTCCCCTTTCTCCCACCTCCCTTTCCTTGTCCTTCTTCCTTCTCCCACTCTCCTTTCCCTGTCCTTCTTCCTTCTCCCACCCCCCTTTCCTGGTCCTTCCCCCTTCTCCATCCCCCTTTTCCCTGTCCAGACCCCTTTCCCTTCCCCTTTTCTCTGTGCTTCCCCCTTTTCCCACTCTCCTTTCCCTGTCCTTCCTCCTTCTCCTTCCCCCCTTTCCCTGTCCCGACACTTTTCCCTCCCCTTTTTCCCTGTCCTTCCCCTTCTTCCATTCTCCTTTCCCTGTCCTGACCCCTTTTCCACTCTTCTTTCCCTGTCCTTCCCCTTCTCCCACACCCCTTTCCCTGTCCCTGACCCCTTTCCCTCCCCCTCCTCCTTTTCCCTGTCCTTTCCCTTCTCCTTCCCTCCTTTCCCTGTCCTTCCCCCTTCTCCCACTCTCATTTCCCTGCCCTTCCTCTTCTCTCACTCTCCTTTCCCTCTCCTTCCCTTTCTCCTACCCCCCTTTCCCTGTCCTTCCCCCTTTCCCTGTCCTTCCCCTTTTCCCACCCTCCTTTCCCTGTCCTTCCTCCTTTCCTCCCCCCTTTCCCTGTCCTGACCCCTTTCCCTTCCCCTTTTCCCCATCCTCCCACCCTTTCCCATTTTGCACATCCCTTCACACTCCCGGTGAATTTATGGGAGCCCCGTCTGCTGGGTGAGGAGGAGGGGCTGTGCCCCCCTTTTGGGGTGCCTGTGCACCTCAGAAAAGGGAAACAGGGCTGCAGTGAGGGGGGCCCTGCCCTCCTGAGCCTCTCCCCAGCCTTTCCCAGCAGGGCTTGGCAAAATCCACTGAACAAAGTCACGGAATCTGGGGCAGAGCTGTGCAGCCACAGCTCCATCCTTCCTCCGTGGCCTCCCCAGGACCACGTGGCCTCTGCATTGTGTCCAAAGTGAAAAAAGCTGCAGTTTTGAGGCCAAAATCCAGAGAATCTGCTCAAGGGAAGGGCGTCCTTCCAGATGTTGAGGCAGGGCTACCAAACCTCGGATGTTGCTGCAGCAGATTTAGGAAGGGGGACATTGCTCAGCTCTGTGGTGCCTTGTTGCTTGGTAACACTTTCAGGAGGTGGAGCTGAAGCCAAACTGGATTTGGAGCCTGATTTTCTGTTACAACTCAAGGCACCGGGAGCGGAGCAGCCCAGTACCTGCTGCTTGTCCTTCCCTGGAAAACAGGCTGCCCCTCTCCTTCCCACTGCTCCACAGCATCCCCTGGGATCCCTTCTGTGTGGTGGAGGGTGAATCCCACATAACTGATCACCCGAAAGTGTTCTGGAGCCACCCAGCTGGGAGCAGAGCTTACTCCGAGCTTGTCCCTGTGCAGTGCACACAGCAGGAAGCCCCCACTCTCTGCTCTCTGTCCTTCCATCAGATCAACCCAGAGGAAAGGAGACTCCCCCTGAGCCCTCGGGGGTCCCCTTCCCCCCTTCCTCTCCACCTCCTGTCACCTTTTTCTCCCCTCTCGCCACTCGTTTGGCACCACCGGGGCTGGGGGGCCGCGGGCTCTGCGTCGCAGCCATGATGTCGGATCACTCACTGTCACTCTGTTTTTGTTCCTTTTTTTTTTTTTTTTTCCTGTTTTGTTTTGGTTTTTTGTTTTGTTTTTTTTTTTTTTTTTTTTTGTTTTTCCCTGTCTTCATTTCTGCATGCCACTGTTCTTCTGTATTGCAGCCACAGTAGAAGCGGTAGAGGCACGGGAAGGTATGGCTAGAACCCGGCGAGAGACTCAAATCATCTCCGTGTGTGCGTGCGCTCATTTTAAAGAGCTTTACCAGCCCTTAACGGAAGCTTTTTACTCTTGCATCACCAGAAGGGGGGGAGGACAAGGCCCTGCTGGGAAGGAAAAAACACCCAGGGGTTTGGTTCAAGGCTTGAACAGTTTATTCCTTAGTGGGACACCTTTATTTGGAGTTGCCAAAGCGGTTCCTGCTGCGGCGGCTCGAGACCTTGGGCTTGAGGTCCTGCAATCTGCCAGCACCATCAAAACCCTTAGAAAACAGGGTTTTGTGGTGCTGGTGTAATCCCTGCCTTCCCCACAGGTAGGCCAAGGTGGAGAGGCAATTCTCTGCCTGTAGGGTGTAGGAATGACAGATCCATGAGGATTTTTCCTCGATGCCAAGCGGGGCCACACAGCTCTACAGAGGCTTTGCTTACCAAGGGAAGTTGTTTGTGAGCCAGCCAAGTCCTTGTAAAAGATTTGGCAGAGGCCCCTTTTCCTTAAATTCTCCGTAGCACAAAGGAGTTTCACATTTGGTCCGTGTCATCGGGGCCAGGGTGACGTGCTCGTCCCCGCGGTGATGGAACAGGGACATGAAATTCCTCCGTGGGATTCATCCCTCCCAAATCTGCCCGTGTGTCTCCTGGTCATGCAAGAATTTTGCCTTTGTGATCCAAGGACTAGCTGTTCCCTCTCCTGGTGTTTGCAGTGTGTGGTTTGTGTCGGAGTTCAGAGCCTTGTGGTGGTGTCTTTGTTCTGTTGTTCTGGGTTTTGCCTTTTTTTAAAAATTTTTATTTTCTTTTTAATTGTTATTTTTTAGTGTCGTGTTTTTCAGCTTTGAAATTTTCCTGAGATTTCACTCTCTGGGGACAGCAAGCACCTGTCTGGTTTATCAGTTCCTCCTATACTGTTAAAATAGGGGGAGGTTTGGGATAATGGAAGGAAATTCTTTCCTGTAAGGGTGGTGGGATGGAATTTCCAGAAAAGCTGTGGCTGCCCCATCTCTGGAAATGTCCATGGTTAAACCTGGGATAATTTAACTGGGTGATATTAATCTCCCAACCCAAACCATTCCATGCTTCCATGAAAAGCTCTTAGGGAGCAGAGAAAGTCCTAAACCTACCTAAAAAGAACCTCCTCCTAGGGAGCAGAGCAAATCCTAAACCCCTCTTAAAGAAAAAGAACCAGCTCTTAGTGAGTAGAGCAAATCCTGAACCTCCCTAAAAAGAAGAACCTCTTCTTAGGGAGTAGAGCAAATCCTAAACCTATCTTAAAGAAAAAGAACCTCTTAGGGAACAAAACAAATCCAAAACCTCCCCAAAAAGAACCAGCTCTTAGGAAGTAGAACAAATCCAAAACCTCCCCAAAAAGAACCAGCTCTTAGGAAGTAGAACAAATCCTAAACCTCCCTAAATCCTCTAAGGGAGCAGAGCAAATCCTCAGCTTCTTAGGGAGCAGAGCAAATCCTAAACCTGCCTAAAAACAAGAACCTCCTCCTAGGGAGCAGAGAAAATCCTAAACCTCTCTAAAAACAAAGAACCTCCTCTTAGGGAGCAGAACAAATCCTAAACCTCTTAGGGAGCAGAGAAAATGCTAAACATGTGTAAAAAGAAGAACTTCCTCTTAGAGAGCAGAGCAAATCCTGAGCTTCCACAAAAAGAACCAGCTCTTAGGAAGCAGAGCAAATCCCAAACCTCTCTAAAAAGAGCCTCCTTTTAGGGAGCAGAGCAAATCCTAAACCTCTCTAAAAAGAGCCTCCTTTTAGAGAGCAGAGCAAATCCCAAACCTCCCCAAAAAGCACCAGCTCTTAGGGAGCAGAGCAAATCCTAAACCAGCCTAAAAAGAACCAGCTCTTAGGGAGCAGAGCAACTCCTAAACCTCCCTAAAAAGAACCTCATTTTAGGGAACAAAGCCAATCCTAAACCTCTCTAAAAAAAAAAAGAGCCTCTTTTTAGGGAGCAGAACAAATCCTAAACTTCTTAGGGAGCAGAGCAAGTCCTAAACCTCTCTTAAAGAAAAAGAACCTCTTCGGGAACAAAGCAAATCCTAAACCTCCCCAAAAAGAACCAGCTCTTAGGGAACAAAGCCAATCCTAAAACTCCCTAAAAACAAAGAACCTCCTCTTAGGAAGCAGAGCAAATCCTAGACCCCGTAGGGAGCAGAGAAAATGCTAAACCTGTCTAAAAAGAAGAACCTCTTCTTAGGGAGCCGAGTAAATCCCAAACCTCCCTAAAAAGAAAGAACGTCCTTTTATGGAGCAGAGCAAATCCTAAACCTCCCCAAAAAGCACCAGCTCTTGGGGAGCAGAGCAAATCCTAAACCTCCCCTAAAAAGAACATCCTTTTAGGGAGCAGGGCAAATCCCAAACCTCTCTAAAAAGAGCCTCCTTTTAGGGAGCAGAGCAAATCCCAAACCTCCCTAAAAAGAAAGAACGTCCTTTTATGGAGCAGAGCAAATCCTAAACCTCCCCAAAATGAACGAGCTCTTAGGGAGCAGATCTATTCCCAAACCTCCCCAAAAAGAGCCAGCTCTGAGGGAGCAGAGCAACTCCTAAACCTTGCCTCCAGCTGCTCCCAGACAGCGCTGGCACCTCCAAAACCTCCCCACAGAATCCCCAAACCCAGCCCGGTGCTTTCTGTCCCCTCCACCTGTCCCCGTTGGTGTCTGGCGTGTGCTGGAGGGTTCCTCCGGGGTTAATTCCATCCTGATGCTCACATCTGCCCCCTGTGCTCCCTTCCCTCCGCAGCCATCCGCGGCTTCTCCCCGCAGCACAAGATCCGCAGCTTCGAGGAGGCGCGGGGGCTGGACCGCATCAACGAGCGCATGCCGCCGCGCAAGGATTCGCTGCACGCGGACGGCCCCGTGAACTTGGTAACCTCGAACTCTGCGGACAAGAACGGCACGGGCAAGAAACCCCAGTAACGCCAGAGGATCCAAAACGTCATGAATTTTATTTATTTATTAGCGGGGTGGGGTGGGGGCAGGGGGAGAAACCGACTTCACCTGGAGGCACGTCCATAAATCCAGTCCGCATCCGTTCTGTAAGAAAGCGACCATTTTGTAATTTTTTTTTTTTATTTATGTTCAATATATATAAAAATGTCTTTTTTTTTTTTTTTTTTTTTTTTTTGAGTTAGAAACCAATCCAACTGCTAGAGCATCCCGGGAGTGTTGTGCTGTCCAGCTGCCCTCCCCGAGAGGCCAAACCTCTGTTGGGGGGGTGTTGGATTAAAAAACAAAAATCAGTCAAACCAGGCAACTTGGGTCGTTGGCTTTGGCACAATTTGGACTTAGCCTGAGCTTTTCAAAGCAGCTCCTTCCCTTCAGGATACGGTTGGGTTGGTCTTTCTTTACACACGTTTTCTTCCCCAGATTTTTCCTGTTCTTTTCTTCCACCTCTTGCCTACCTGCAGCTGCTGCTTTAGCAACCAATTCCCTGGGAGGCAGATTGCTGGGATCCATCCCTCTTTTCCAAGGTGACAGCCAGGGGTAACTCCAGTGTTATTAACACCAATCACAGCACCTTTTCCTTCAGGATTTCAGCTTTATCCCAAAGGAAAACAGGGAGAAGGTGGGGGAAGCGCTGCCCCTTGTCGTGGCTCTTCCTCTTGGAGCAGCCAGTTTGTGCAGCAGAATTCCCTTGGGAATCCCTCTGATTCAGAGCAGAGGAATTATCTCTGCTGTCTGGTGATCCCTGGGAAAGCTGCAGGGCAGAGTTTTAAAGGAAAAGGGGGTGATTTACACCCTGCAGGCCGCAGCTCCCCCATTCCCCCACCAGCACAACTGCCCAGCCCACGGCACATTCCCCACTCCCAGCTCTGCCATCAGCCCTTGCTGAGCAGTTTGGGGTGTTGGGGACAGGGTGGTCACCCCATTGTCACCCCCTGTCCCCCCAGGGTGTGTGGCTTTGGGCATCACCCACCCTTGGCTGCTCCAGAGGAGCCATGGGCAGCTCAGCCTTTCCCAGCAGCTGGAGCAGGGGATGGCTGATAAAGGTTTGGGATAAGATTTGGGCACTGCTGGTTCTGGGAGATGTGGCTGAGTGCTGGTGACGGGGCAGCCCCTGGATTGGGGAGCAGGGAGGGCTTGGAGGGCAGAACCAAATGGATGTGGCAGGAATTTTGGCAGGGAGTTCTGGACAGGGATCCTGGGGGTTCCCAGGGGACACCCCTGGGTGTGGTCGGGGATTTTGGAGTGGGAGCTGAGCATTCTGTCACTCTGAGCATTCTTCACTTAGACTGGGGTGCTGGGGAAGGGTTTTTTGGGATTCCCTTAGGTCACTTCCCTGTGAGCTGTGCAGGGTTTTTTGGGATTCCTGTTGGTCAGTTCCCTGTAGGCTGTGAAGGGTTTTATGGGATTCCTGTTGGTCAGTTCCCTGTGAGCTGTGAAGGGTTTTTGGGATTCCCATTGGTCACTTCCAGTGTGAGCTGTGCAGGGTTTTGTGGGATTCCCGTTGGTCACTTCCCTGTGAGCTGTGAAGGGTTTTATGGGATTCCTGTTCGTCACTTCCCACATGAGTTGTGCAGGGTTTTATGGGATTCTCATTGATGACTTCCCTGTGAGCTGTGAAGGGTTTTGTGGGATTCCCTTTGGTCACTTCCCACATGAGTTGTGCAGGGTTTTGTGGGATTCTTGCTGGTGACTTCCCACATGAGCTGTGAAAGATTTTGTAGGGTTCCAGTTGGTGAGTTCCCCTGTGTTTTATGGGATTCCCGTTGCTCAGTTCCCATGTGTTTTATGGGATTCCCATTGCTCAGTTCCCATGTGTATTATGGGATTCCCATTTGTCAATTCCCATTTGTTTTATGGGATTCCCATTGCTCAGTTCCCATGTGTATTATGGGATTCCCATTTGTCAATTCCCATTTGTTTTATGGGATTCCCATTGCTCAGTTCCCATGTGTTTTATGGGATTCCCATTGCTCAGTTCCCATGTGTTTTATGGGGTTCCCATTGGTCAGTTCCCATGTGTATTATGGGATTCCCATTTGTCAATTCCCATGTGTTTTATGGGATTCCCATTTGTCAATTCCCATGTGTATTATGGGATTCCCATTTGTCAATTCCCATGTGTTTTATGGGATTCCCATTTGTCAATTCCCATGTGTTTTATGGGATTCCCATTGCTCAGTTCCCATTTGTTTTATGGGATTCCCATTGCTCAGTTCCCATGTGTTTTATGGGGTTCCCATGTGTTTTATGGGATTCCCATTGCTCAGTTCCCTGTCAGCTCTGAAGGTTTTTATGGGATTCCCATTGCTCAGTTCCCATGTGTTTTATGGGATTCCCATTGATCAGTTCCCATGTGTTTTATGGGATTCCCATTGATCCCTTCCCTTCCCAGCCCTGGCCATTGCCTGCAGCTGAGGCAGCAGCTCCTGGAGCACTCCCCTCTCCAGCTTTCCCTGTCCCCCTTCTCCCGAGCTCTCTGCAGGCAGGGCTGAGCCTCTCCAGGGAATCTTTGCCAAGGCTTTCCCTGCTTGTTGCCGTCTTCCCTCGGCGGTTCCAGCGCCAGAGGAAAAACAGCAACTTCCCAGGAAGCTTTGAGATTGTCTTAGGATCAGACGTCACCTAATCCCACGGGGCTCTTTAGGATTCTGTGAGCAGACCGCTGGGTTTCCACACTTTTCAGTCACATGCCTCCACTTTCCCCTCTTTTTTTTTTATTCTTTTTCTTTTTTTTTGTTGGTTTTTTTTTTCCCTTTGATCCCTTTTTATTTTCCACGCCCACCGCTTTGCGAGATGTTCGGAGCGAGCTTCTCTCCCCCCAGTCCGAGGAGTGGGGCCAAATTGCCTTTTGTCTGTGAGTATTTCTTTGTCCTTTCAGGGCCTCCTGTGAGCGGTGAGCCCGTGTGTGGTGCCCAGGGCTGCCCGTGCATGTTCGGGCGTGTTGTGCTGACCCAGGCTGGGATCTCACCCAAGCCAGCCAGGTTTTAGTCGGGATATTTGGGATGGGAATTGCGGGACCCCGAGCCTGGCACCCCCCTGTTCCCAGCGTGGGGGGGGTCAGCAGGGCCCTGCCCATCACACGGGGGGATTTGCTTTGCTGGCAGTTTGTCCCCCCACCCTCTCCTCCTGCTCTGGCATCACCAATTCCTCCTCCTCAAAATCCTTTTGGTCTTTGTGCTTCATGGTTTGGGGGCTCAGATCCAACCCCCTGATGATGCTTGGGGCTGGTGGAACTGCAGCTTCCCAGTGTCCCAGCTCTGGAAAAGGGCTGGATCTTCATTGTCCTGGCCCTGGAGAACGTGGCCAAGGGGTGGAATTTTTATCCCCCCTTATCCCTAGAGCTGCACTGTGCCACCCTGGAGATGGTGGCCAAGGGCTGGGTGTTGTCCCTGTGTCCCTGTGGCACCCACGCGTGTGGCTGTCACACTGCCAGGTCCCCTGTTCCCTTTGAAGCACTTCCCGAGGGGGTGAGGAGCAGCGATGGGGCTCTGGGTGCTAATTACCCCCTCAATTAATTAACGCCCCCTCTCCGTGCCGGGCTTCCCCTGCCACCGCCCCCAGCCGAGATCCCCCCTCCCCTCTTTTGGGGACAACTCGGGAGCAGAATTCCCTGCCCCGATCCCCACCACGGCAAACCAAAAAAACAAAAAAACAACCCAATCCAGAAACGCCCCCCAATCTCCCCCTTTTCCTCCTTTTGCCCCCCAAATCCAGCGCCTCGGGGCTGGGCTTGTCTCTGACCCCTCCTCTCCGAGCTCCCGCCCGTCCCTTCCCCTCCCCGGCTGCCACCTGGAGCTTGGACATCCGGGATTGAGGGGACCCCCCGAGCCGAGGGAGCCCCCAAATCCAGGGAAAGCCCCCACCTCCCCGCAGCCTGGGTTTTTTTGCATGTTCTAGCAAGGTGCATGTCCAAGGAGGGGAGTCGGCAATGGGGCGGGTGGTGGGTTGAGTTCAAGCTTAATTTTCTTTTTTGGGATTGGGAGAACCCCTCTGGCTGCCTCTGGCACAGATCCCACCTGGCCAGGGGAGCTGGCAGGGATGCAGATCCCACCAAAGCTCGGCCAGGGAGGACCTGAAGCCCTCCAGGGGTGCAGTGATGGTGATTTTAGGGTTCTCGATGCTGAAGGATCATACGCCCGTTGCCTGGAGACTGCCTCCTTTTTAATTTTTATTTTTATTTCTTGCTTTTTTTTTTTTCTTTTTTCTTTTTTTTTTTTTTAGTTCTGTTGAAAGGAGAAAAAAAATGGTGAAAATGTTATTTATTGGCAGAAATTATTTAATATAATTTCTTTTTTTTTTTTTTTGTGAAACAAGGAATGAATTTGTTAGAACTGTCTCGATGTAAATCGGAGTCATCTTTAAGGAGGAAAAAAAAAAGAAAAAAAAGTTAAAAATTGACACAGTCACTGCGCTCCACTGTGATTTTTTGGGTGGCTGAGGGGGTTCACTGCTGCCAGAAGGGAGGATATGGGGGGTTTAGAGGCTCTTCAGGGCATCTCCCAGCCCCCAGCAGAGGAATTTGGCAATTTGGAGAGCTCTCAGCTCCTGCTCCTCGTCCTTCCCTGGGTAAATAACGTGGTGCCAGCAGCAACAGGACGGGATGTGCCAGCTCTTGTTCCACCCCAGCTCCTTCCTTGTCCCTTCTGGGGGTGTTCCCTCCACTGAGAGGATTCCAGGAGCAGCCCTGGGGTCGGGATCTGGGTGGATCCTGAAAGTTCCACGGGTCCTGCTCAGGGATCCCCTCCTGCATCATTCCCAGGGAGCTGCTGTGGCTCCCACTCTGCCTCCACCCCTGGGATCCATCCCCTCTTCCCAGGGGCAGCAGAATATTCAGGATAGACTCTGGAGGACTCCAGGGCGTGATCCCAATCAGGAATTCCTTCGGGCTCAGCTCACCACGTGCTCCCGTTTCCCACCTGCTCCTCCCCGCAGCATTCCCGCTCCGGATGCATCCAGGGCCCGCCCTGGCCAGGACGTTCCAGCTCTCCCGCCCTTTCTTTTCCTGGCTGTTCCAACCCAAACTGGGAGCCCCCAAGCCCCAGCACCACTGGCAGACCCCACACTCAGCACCCAGTGGATCCAAACCCCAAAGTTCCACGGGTCCTGCTCAGGGATCCCCTCCTGCATCATTCCCAGGGAGCTGCTGTGGCTCCCACTCTGCCTCCACCCCTGGGATCCATCCCCTCTTCCCAAGGAGCAGCAGAATATTCAGGATAGACTCTGGAGGACTCCAGGGTGTTATCCCAATCAATCATCCCAATTCCTTTGGGAATTCAGCACCACCTCGAGCTCAGCTCACCACGTGCTCCCGTTTCCCACCTGCAGCATTCCCGCTCCGGATGCATCCAGGGCCCGCCCTGGCCAGGATGCTCCGGCTCTCCCACCCTTTCTTTTCCTGGGTGTTCCCACCCAAACCGGGGAGCCCCCAAGCCCCAGCACCACTCACAGACCCCACGCTGGGCACCGGGGGGCTCCGGGCACATCCCTGCCCAGGGCAGCATCCCTGGGAGCATCCCCGGGCCCGGCCGCGCGTTCCCGCCTGGCATCGCCGCTGAGCAAACAGGAAACACTCGCTCTTTGTTAATCCCGGCCCGGGCTGCGCGTTAAATATTTATCTGTGAGCGGAGGCTGGTGCTGGGAGCCGCGGGGAGGGAGGGAGGGAGCGAGGCAGGGCCGGCGCTGGAGGCTCCTGGCCGGGCACGGGAGCGGGAGGTGAGCGGGGATTCGGGCACCCCGAGGGGGGCTGGGGTGTGGGGGCTGCTCCTGGCACCGCTGCGACATCGAGAGGTGTCACTGGGCGGGCTGGAGGGGATTTGTCACCCCTTGGCAGCAGGGATGGGCTCGGGGTCCCCTCTCGCTGGGTTTAACCCCCCCTGGCCCTGCTGCCATCCCTGCCCTCGTCACCCCGGGATTTGCCAGCGGGATCAGCTCGTGTGTCCTCGCCTCGGTGTCCCCAGCTGGCAGCAAGGAGCTGCCTCATCCCCACGGCATTGGGGCGGGGAGGACACCCTGTCCCCTCTGTCCCCAGTGTCCCCTGTGTCCCCGAGGTACAGGATCGCAGCCAGCCGGGGCTCCTGCCATCGTCCCCAGCAGCAGGGGGCGGTGACCTGGTGGGGACCGAGGGGTGGCAGCGAAGCCACCATCGCCCTTGGAGCTCACGTGGGAGCTCACGGGATGAGGAAGGGCTGGGGCAGCCCCGTTTTGGGGGTGTCAGCACTTTAGGGGAGCAGGAAGCGGCCGGCGGGTGAGTGGGGGGTGCGGGGGGACACGGGGGTGTTCCGGGGGGGACCCTGCCCGGATTCCTCAGGGATGGGCGGATGGAGGGGATGGTGCAGTGGGGATGGGGGCTCTGCTCTGACTGTGCCCCACACCAGGGTTTGGGTGGGCGCAGGAGCACAGATCCCACTCCCAGGAGCACAGATCCCATTCCAGGAGCACAGATCCCACTCCCCACTTCGGCCCTCACCTCTCAGCATTTCCCTCCTCACCCTCTGCCAAAAATCCCCCGAAATCCCCTTCTCCATCGGTGGGGAAGCGGTGACGCTGGAGGGGATGAGGTGGGACACAGGGGGGGCTTACATGGGGGTCCCCAGCGCCCAAATCCCTGGGGGATGGAGAGATTGAAGGGATGGAGGAGATGGAGATGGAGGGATGGAGGGGATGCAAGGGATGGAGGGATGGAAGGGATGGAGGACATGGAGGACATGGAGGGTCACCCGTGGGAAAGCGGCCGGCCGTGGGGATGGGGGCTCTGCTCTCCCCGTGCCCCATCCCGGCTCTCGGAGGCGCTCAGGAGCACGGACCCCGCTCCTCCCCTCAGTCCCGACCTCCCCCCGGAATTCCCTCCCGGTCCTTTCCCCAAACCCCCCCGAGCCCGCGTCTCCATCGCGCCGGGGGGCGGCGGCGCCGGGCTCGCCCCGTTTCGTAAGCGGGGCCGGGTGCGCGGGGACGCGTGCGCGGGGCGTGGGATGAGTTCAGCCTCTTGGCCCCGTTCCCTGGATCCCATCCCTGGAAATGTCACTGGAAACTCTGAATGGGCCGGCCCCGCTCCAGAGCTGGGGGGGCAGCGCACCCCGGGGGGGGCCGGGGCACACGGGGACCCAGCGGCGGCCGGGACGGAGCCGGTGCCTCCCGACCTTCCCGGGGGATGCTCTTGGGGGGCTCTCCTGGAGTTCCCCGCTCTGAGGGCCCCCCCGCTCCTTCTCCCGGCCGAGTTCGTGCCGTGGGTTTTCCCTCCGCGCCGCTCGCAGCTCCGGCCCGCTCGCCCCGGGGCTCCCCAAAACCCCGGAGCTTCTCGGGGGGCACCGCCCAGGAGGTAAGAGCAGGCTGGGGGACCCCCAGGGGACCCCCGGGGCAGGTTGGGGGGGACAGGACACGGATGAGGCCGAGCCCCGTGTGGGGCTGCACTGGGAATGGCGTGGAGGTTTTTGGGGTGCCCTGGGGGGTTGGGATCCTGCACCTCACTTTCTGTGCCCCGGGTCCTCAGTTTCCCCACGGGGGTGATTAACGTTAATTACAACCTCGGGGCTGCCGAGCCTCCAGCGGTGCGGAAAACGAGGGGTCCTGATTTGGGGGTCCCACACACACAGAGGGCGCCCGGGAGCCCCCAGGACCCCCCGTTTGTGGCGGGGTCTGGCACGGTGACGGGGTGGGGACGGAGCCCAGAGCACGGGTGTCCCCCGAAGGCCGCGGAGCCATCCCTGGGGTGTCGGGAGGGGCTCCGGGGCTCCCGTCACCCCCAGCCGCCCCCGGCCCGTTCCCGGTGAGTCACAGCCCGGCCGCGCGTTCCCAGCTCCCCGTTCCTCCGTCCCCTCTCCCTTTCTGTTTGCGCTGCAGGGCGGGGAAATATTTCTGCCCTGTCGTGTTCCCGGCGCTGGCAGCGCTCCCGGGCGGGCGACGCTGCTGCCGCCACGTGCCCGGGCGGGAGGGCAGCGCCCCGGGATGCCAGGCATGGGATGGGAGCGCGGAGCTGCCATCGCCCCCCGAGCCGCTCCGGGCTGATCCATCCCTGCCCAGCCGGGGCAGGCCGAGGGGCAGGGGTCTGGATTGGCATGGAGAGGGAGGTGGGGACCGTGCCAGGGCTGGTTCTGAACAGGAACAGCCCCTTCGCTGGGCTGGGGACGCTGCCACAGCGCTTGTCACCCCACACACGGTGTCCCCTATGCCTCTGAATAACAGGGGACGCTGCCACCGCGGTTGTCACCCCACACGTGGTGTCCCCTGTGGAATAACCGGGGACGCTCCCAGCGCCGTTGTCACCCCACACACGGTGTCCCCTGTGGAATAACAGGGGACGCTCCCAGCGGTGCGGCTGCGGCTCCTGCGAGCTCCATCTCTCCGCCAAAGCCTGGGAATGCCCAGAGAACAGGGACGCCATGAGCACCACAGCTGCTTTTCTCACAGGGCATCCCCCGGGCACCATCCCGCGCCCCCCGGCCATGGCGGGCCGGCTCCTGCCCCCCGACACCAGCCCGGCCCCTGGGGTGGAGGACGTTCCCCGCCTCCTCCCAGCCCCGCAGGTGTCCCCGCAGCACAGGGTGAGTGGGGCTGGCACATGCTGGGGGATCCGGGGGGGGCTGCACCCCCCGTTGCTCTGTGCCAGCCCCTCCCTGTGCCGCAGGTGCCCGTCATCCGCCACCGCGGCTCCAACACCCT